CATTAATTTCCATATTGGGCTCTCCCTATTGAAAAAATTATTTAAGATCTCTAAGATGACGCATTCCAATCTTGTGAATCAACTTCTCAAAAGTTATGACAAGTAATGCCTTAGTGAACAAATCAGTTGGATTATCACTTGATCAAATTTGTTGAACATTAATATCACCATTCCCTTTAAGATCACGTGTGAAGAATAATTTTGGTGATATATGTTTTGTTTTGTCACTTTTGATTTATCCTTCTTTTAATTGAGTTATGCAAATAATATTATCTTCATACAATATTTTTGGAACTTCCTTGCTAGTGGATAAACTACATATCTCTCGAATATGATGGGTCATTGATCTTAACCAAATACGTTCTAAACTTTTCTCATGAATTGCTAGTATTTATGTATAGTTTGAAGATGTGGCAGCTATAGTTTACTTTATAGAATGTCATGATATAGCTATATCTACATATGTAAATACATAACCAATTTGTGATTGAACTTTATATGAATAAGATAAATTGATTGCATCTACATAACTATTCAATCCTATCTTTGATTTATTGGAGTAATATAAGCCCATATTAATTGTTTTTTGGAGATAACGTAGTACATGTTTAATTCCATTTCAATGTCTCTATGTTTGGAGCAAAATTATATCTTACTAATAAACATAAAGAAACTACTATATGAGGTTGGGTATTATTAGCAAGATATATTAATGCATCAATTGCACCGATGTATAGTACTTCGAATCAATAAGTTATTCGTTATCTTCTCAAGGCGAAAAAAAATCCTTTTGAACATCAAGTGAACAAAATACTCTTGAACTAGTCAATGGGTAAGCCTTATCCATATAGAATTATTGTAATACTTTTTCTATATATGTTGATCGATGAATAAAAATTTTATCCTCTAAGTGTTCGAACTGTAGGCCGAGACAAATTTTTTTTCCAAAGTCTTTCATATCAAATTCTCTTTTTAAATAACATATGACACTTAAAATATCTTTAAAAGTTCTAATTTAAATCATCAATATATACAATAATTATCACAAACCCATTTTTGGATTACTTTATAAAAACACATAGACAAATTGGGTTATTTTTATAACCTTCTTTCAATAAATACTCGGTAAAACGATTATATCGGATGCGTTCAAATTGTTTCAATCCATATAGAAATATTTATAATTTAATTGAATACATCTCTCGGGAATGTATTTTACATATTTCGGGCATTTTAAGTCCTTCTAGGACTTTCATATAGATATCATTATTAAGTGAACCATATAAATAGAATATGATCACATTTATTAAATACATATGAAGTTTTTCATGTGTTGACAAGTTAATAAGTTAACGAAATATAATTGCATCAATTATAGGAGAGTATGTCTCCTTATAGTCAATATTAGGTCTTTGTGAAAGCTCTTGTGCTCAAGTCTTGTTTTATATCTTATAATTTCATCCTTTTTATTTCATTTTTACACAAATACCCAATTGTATCCTACTAGTTTAGCATCTTCGGGTTTTTTGACTATAGGCCCAAAAACTCGCTTATTTCGTGAGAGACTTTAATTCTTCCTAAATTGCATCTTTCCATTTGGGCTAATCCTTTCTATGTCGACATTCTTCAATAGATTTAGACTTATGATCCTTATTCAAAATATCAATTGTACCATTATATGAAAAAATATTATCAATGAATGTTTCTTTTCGATCCTATTTTCTCCATTTATAAATATAATTTATCAAAATTTCTTAATTTTACTCAAGCCTTTGGGCTTTTTCTAGAAGCTTCGTTATCAAAAGCATCTTGGATCATTTTCTCTACATCCTTTATATTTATTTTCATCTTGATTATTTTTTCTATTTTTCTTTTGGAGATTTTTATCTTTAGAATCGATTGATCTTTCATGATTCAAGCATGCTTTAGATTAATTTTTTATAATATTAATAAATTATTTTATTGGGATATTGATTCTAATAGGAGCATTCTCGGTGGGAACATATGATTTAGTTACTCTTTTTGGATCGGAGAATGCATTTGATAGTTGGTTTGCAAGATTTTATAAATGAATTATCATTTGAACTTCAAGTTCATATTGTTTTGTGTAAGGATCAAGGTGATATAAAGATGAAGTATTCCTTTTTTCAATATTTTTAACCGTTTATTTTGTTTATTCTCTCCCTTTAATGTTGAAAAAAATTGTTTCATCAAAATGACGATCAGAAAATTGAGTTGTGAAAACATCCCTCGTTAATGGTTCAAGATATTTAATTATAGAAGAAGATTCATATCCAATATATATATTCTCATTTTCCTTTGATGACTACTTTTAGTTCATTGTGAAGGAGTAATTGGGACATATACAACTTATTCAAAAATCCTTAAATGAGAAATATTAGGCTCATGACTAGAAACCAATTGAAGGAAAGAGAATTTCGATAACTTATGCACTCGATGCGAATAAGTATTGTTGCATGTAAAATTATATATTCTCAAATATAAACAAGGAGTTTTGTTTTTATAGGAAATGGTCTAGCTATTAATTGGAGGTTTTTAATAAATAATTTTGTCAAACCATTCGAGTATGAACATGAGTAATATGTTGTTCAATCTTTATTCCAATAGACATGCAATGAACATTATATGCTTGAGAGGTAAATTCATTAATATTGTTAAGACGAATTGTTTTAATGGTATAATCTAGAAATTGTTCTCGTAATTGAATTATTTGAGCAAGTAACCTTGAAAATGTCGAGTTTTGAGTTGATAAGAAGTGTACATATGATCATCTTGTAAATGCATCTATTAAAACCATAAAATATCTAAATGATCCTTGTAGTAGATGAATTGGTCCACATATATTACCTTGAATACGTTCTAAAAATGTTAGATAGTCAATACCGATTTTATTTTGTGATGACTTAATAATAAGTTTGTCTTGAGAACATGTAAAACGTGAAAAATTATTAGATTAAAGAATTTTCTAGTTCTTCAATAGATGTCCATATGAAATTCAATAATTTTTTGCATCATAATGAACCTAGGATGACCCAACTAGTCATGTCATAAAATAAAAAAATTAGTAAACTTCTTGTTTACTATGACATTTGTTTCAATTATTTAAATATTTATGTAATAAACGCTAGAAAAGAAAGTTGGTAATTTCTCTAATACATATTTTCTATATGATGTAATTTTTGTAATATATAAGGATTCAATATTTTCAATATTTGTTGTCTCGATATGATATCCATTTAGACGAATATTTTTGAAACTTAGCAAATTTCTATGGAAATTAAAAGAGAATAATGCATCATTTATAATTAAATTTATCCCTCCAAGTAATAATATATTTACTCTTTCGAGCATTCAATTAAATTGACACTACTAGATATCTTGTTAACATTAGCTTTACCATCATTAAATTAGAGAAATACTTTTTATTTTTAAGTATAGTATATGTTGTTGTACTATCTACGAGGCATAGCTTTTCCTCTATAATATTCAAATCAATTGTGAACTTGATAGTATCTCTATGTTCTTTATAAATACAAAACATACACACACACACACATTGTAACCATCATGATGTGATATAAATTATAAAAAAACAAAAAATTTCTTTATTTATCAATAGAAAAAGTAATAAGATATTAATTTCAATGATTATTATTAATTTAATGATCTTTTCTTTCAAAATATTCAAAAAAAAAAATCAATAACATCTAAATATGTCAAATTACTGAAACCTTCAAGAGGAACATTGATATAATTATTATTTTAATATATAAAATTTGCCTCAATATTAGTTTCTTTCTTTATCAACGAGGCTTGATAAAACTCAACGAAGTTTTTTAAGATTAGTTTATGTGTCAATCGAGATTAATTTCTTTCTTCAAATGATCTTAAAAGTATATCTTTACATCGATTTGATATATTTAGAGAAAACAAATTCATCAAAATGCTAACTATAAAGTTCAAATTTAGGTTAAAACTTTACATTGAGCTTGCTTAATAACTTTAGATTTTTTTTCATTAACTAATTTAGAAAGGATTTGATAGTAAAGATCCAGAAGAATGATTGATAATTTATTTTATTTGATGATATCTAGAAATAAAAAAAGAAAGATTAGTTATTTTCATAAAGAGCATGTGGATTTTACTTGGAACAACACGTAAATAAATTATGTTGATTTGGGTTAAAATCTTATAACATGGTACAGGCACGACATGGATTATAATAGCTCGTACCAAAAACACAATTCTTATCAAAATAAATCTGTTTATTATTTCATGAAAAATTTTAACTAGCCAACAGCAATATCCATTCGACACCTAAGTAGGAGGGCGTTAAACTTCGAGGTTAACTTCAATTTACTCCTTGAGCTTTGAGAAGAATCTAATTTCATATCTTTTTAAAAGTTTCAACTGCATATAAAAAAAAAAACACTTAGACATGTTAAGTAATGTTTTTTTAAAGAGATCAAACTAAAATTTTCGAGAGAAATAAAAACCAGTTTTGAAAATTGAGATGGAACACGTCATTATTATCAATGTTCAAATGTGTTGAGATTCTCAAAATAATAATAATAATCATAATAAAACAATGTTTAATACTATGCAGAGAAAATTCCTTTCAGGAAGGAAGGAAAAAAAAAAAAACCTTTGAATTTGCAGGGATCAACTGATTTATTTTATGTTTTTTGTTTTTTGCAGGGACTAAATCTTAAACATATATACATAAAGTAAAGAACTACATTGGTTAGAGGTAAATTACTTCAATACTGATGTTAGATAGAGTTTTGGTATGGTCTGACGTTTCTCTTGTCATAAACAAATTTACAAAAACAAACCATCTATGAATCTAATGGTGAGTGCTAATTAGTTGTACATAAACATAAGATAAAAACATTAAAATCACCTCTTAATCCCCAATGAAGAGCACTTAATGCAGAGATAAAAAAGAATCAAACAAAATGAGAGAGTTGATTTTTCAGTCATTTAATCCTCTGGCAGCCAACTCTAACATGCACAGCCTCCTCTTTGCTCACCTTCCGAAACAGTTTCCGATATACCCTGGAAGTAACTGCAAAAAATGGCTTGAGCTTATGATGCAAATTATCATCACTTGTCAAAATTCATTAAACATAGAAAGATCAAGAACTTGAATCTTTAGACGTGATAGTGACTCGCAAAACGTGGGTTGATTGAATGTTTTGGAACAGAAATTATTGAAGAAGATTTCTCAAATTTGTGGAGGTTTGTGTACAGGTGAGGCAATAAAGAATTGTGTGACCATTCACTTGTCTTGAAAAAGGTCTGTTCGAAAGCTTCTCTGTTAAAGTCGATGCTAGAAAGGGTAACGAGAATGGATGTAAATAGTAATTAACCAGTCCACAGGTACACTTACATGTCATGTTCCTGTTCATGTTCACCTTCTAGTCCAGTTTTTGCAACGCAAAGAAATGCTTCATCAACGCTGTAATCCTCTTTTGCTGAGGTCTCAAAGTATGGTACACCTCCCTTGGATGCACACCATTCTCTGGCTTTTTCTCTGAAACCTGCACATGAACGGTTCATGTAATGTATTTTTAGAGGGGGAATACGTAACTGATAACATTGATATTGAACCTAGCATGCTCTATACCATTCGGCTGCTTCCACCATCTACATCGATTTTGTTTCCTAGTAATATAAAAGGGAATGCATCAGGATCAACTGGATCAGCCTGCCATTGAAATACAAACGAGGTAAAAGGATTGAAAATTGCCACGATCAGTTCGTAATTAAATAAACAAGTATACAAACAGCATGTGAAAACATTCTGTGACAGTGCTGTTGTAAATACAAAACTGAAGATTTTGACACAATTCAATAGGTTTCCTTTGAAATCTCATTGGGTTTAAGTTCGTACAAATCTAAATGACCCTTTGGGACACTGCAATTTCCAACGTCTCTTATTTGTACTCCTAAAACTAAAAGAAGCTTTGTTAACCTTTTCCATATCCATGATCACAATGATAAGCTAAAACTGCTGCTTAAAACATAGGCAAAGCATCGAAAAGTAATAAAGCATTTGCTTAATTATCTGGTAGAGTGCTACGGATGCAGGCCTATTATTCTACACGAACGAACAATTCAAGAATCCCCACTGCAATGAAAGAAAAATAATGGAATAGCTCAAGGTAATACACGTTTTCATTACCTGTTTGAGAAACTCTTCATGCCAATTATTAAGTGTTTCAAATGATTTCCGTACGTTTACATCATATACAAGAACACAGCAATCTGCCCCTCTGTAAAATGCTGCCCCTAAACTCTGAAACCTCTCCTGCCCAGCTGTGTCCCATATCTGGCATTAAAACATGTAACATGCATTATATGTATTATATCAGCAAGTGTAGCTGGCAAAAGATTTTCCTTTTTATTTCAAATAGAATTGAGCGATAATTATTTACTCACTTGCAAAGTGACCAGTTTCTCATCAATCTGTAGTTCCTTGGTGACAAAATCAGCACCAATTGTAGCTTTATACTGCTGGCTAAACTTGTTATATACATATCTGAATTAAAGTGTTAACAGCCCAACAAAGGGAGTCTGAAGGCAGCAAAAATACAAACGCAAAGAATCGCAATTTGCATTAACAAAACCAGTATTTTTCTGTACTTTTGTCCCTGGCACACAACATTACAGCTCTTCCCAGGTGAGCAAAACATGACATTGCATACCAAGGTGCCATACTATTTTTCTTGCCAGACATATGCTTAATGTAAAGGTGACAAGAATGAAAAAAAAAAAAAAGAAGGATCTTTTAATGGAGTTCTCATAATCATTGAAAAAGAAAAAAGAAAACTTATAATTATCATCATGTGGATACCGATTCATCAAAGAAGTCTTTCCCACCCTGAAATCACAAGAAAGTTAAAAAAAAATCATGAGAATTGAATAGAAAATTCATTCAATGATAAATAACAAATTAAGTCACCAGCTAACTCTAGCAAAAAGGGAAAAAAAAAAAAAACAAAAAAGAATCAAAGGCAAGAATAAAGCTAAAACATACCCGCTATCGCCGAGAACGATAACCTTAAGCAATGCTCTTCTAGATATGTCCATCAGGACCAAGATTTCTTATAAAAATGTAACAGTTAGGTAATGCCTTTAGCAAAGTTATGGGAATCCCAAAATGAGAAAGTTAGCTCAGGAAAGTAGGGAAAAGAACAACAGGGCAAACACTAACAAAAGTTATTTAAAGAAAAGGAAAGGACATTTTCAAGGTGGTTCTTGATTCTTCTTCTCTTTAATGGGTATCTATCTATCTACCTTGCCTCTCTTTTTCCTTTCTTTTCTGTGTTTTGAAGGATACAAGTGAGAGCCATGTGAGCCCTTGCCAACCTGAAAGCATAAAAGGTTGAGCGCCAGCGAAGCTGTTTTTTCAAATACTAATAAATAATAACATGAAAGGGTTGGTATGATGCTAAGGTCCAAGTTGACCACAGAAAAAAAAAAAAGAAGGTAAGTCTTATAACTATTAGGTTTCAAATCTCAAAATTAATAAAAATAAATTTGTCATAATTGTTTAGTCTTAATATCGATAATTTGCCTTTAATCTAATTAAAGAATTGAATTTTTTTTTTATCTTTACAAAATTTTTTATTTTTTATTTATATTTGTTTCTAAATATTTGTCTAATCAAAATTTTAAATAATGTATTTTTAAAATATTTTTAATTAAAATTTATTTTATAAAATATTATTTATATATAATTTTGAAAAAAATAAAGAAATATTTATATGATATAATAATTAATTATTTTCTTAATTTGTAAAAATTCAAATAGAAAAATTTATTTGAGAAGGAAGGTGTAATAAATGAACTTTTTCTCTTTCCTATCTTTAATTTCGTTGACCATTTTCCTGTGGACTTGTGTCTGAGGGATCGTGCCTGCCTCTTCTTTTCAGATTTCACAGGTTGGATTCTTGGGATTCTAATTATTATATTATATTATATTATATTTGTTATCGTTATTAATGGTTCAATGGTGCATTTGGTCCCTCTATTTTCGGTTTTATCTTAATTTGTTATTATTAATTTTATTTGTCTAATATAATCCTCAGCTTTGTAATAATTTGGTCGCAACAATAGTTCTCGTAGCTGTTATGTGCCACGTGTTCTTTAAAATTGAGACCGTGTGGTGTCATTTGTTGCACTTAATTGTAGAATTTCACGCCGTCATTGATGATGGTAGGACTTAATGACTGTGAAATGGAAGATAGGAAAAAAATGACGCTGACAAATACGAGTAAGAAGACCAAAATTAGTTGAAATAAAAAATAGAGGGGCTAAATGCACCATTAATCATTCTTATTGCATATCAGGTTTACAATTTTAGTATGCATATTGCTAGGTTTAATGAAAAACATTACCTTCAAACTACTATAAACTACTATAATTTGATAATTTTGAGTTTTTATTAGCAATTTAGGTTAATTGGAGTCCAAATCATTATTATTTTTTTAACAAATATGATCCTTGTTATTTTTCACACAATTAAAGGATTGACGGTCAAAGGATTGATCGCCAATGATCAACCCTTTGACCATTAATTTTTTTTTGGTAAACTTAGTCAAAAATGGTCTAAATAAGATTGCATAGTGACTATTTGTTATATTTCAAAATTAATAACACTTATAAAAAAATTTAAAAGTAAAAAAAATCAAATAGAAGTATAATTTTTTAAATAAAAAATACAAATACAATTTTTTTTTCTAATCAAGTATTTCTATTAAGTTTATGCTGACATAAGCATTAAATTGACTAGATTAGAAATAAAATAAAATATTTAAAAGTATTGACTAGATTGTCGTTAATATAAATTTTTAATTTTTTTAATCAAGTATTTATGTTAAATTTATGCTCACATAACCATTAAATTGACTAGATTAGAAATAAAATAAAATATTTAATTCTAGTATTAACTAGATTAGTGTTAATGTAAATTTTGATTCCTTTTCAAATCAAGTATTCTAACATAACCATTAAATTGACTAGATTAGAGATCAAATAAAATATTTAAATCTAGTATTAACTAGATTCAGTACCAAAATAGGGGATTTAGTGATGGTTAAAACCATCACTAAATCCCAAAAACCATCGCTAATATTTATTAACAATAGTATAAATCCATCCGAAAAAATCTTATTTCTAAATAATTAGCGACGATTTTTGTATATAGTAGGTAAATTAGCAATGAATTAATCGTCACTAAAACAACGAAAATCCATCACATAACAATGACATAAGGTCGTGCATTTAGTGATGTTTTTGTTTAACTCGTCGCTAAATTCATCGCCAAATATGGATAATTTAGTGACCATTTTTTAAATTCTTCGCTAAATCCATCTCTATTTAGCAACATTTTTAGCAACTATTTGAGAAAACCGTAGCTAAATGTGAGATTAGTAACGGTTGAAAAACCATCGCTAAATTCGTTCCATTTTTTTCATCTATTTATTTTAATACTAATAAAAAATAAAATTTATTCTAATTTAACAACTATAATAACGCTATGAAACAAATTTATAAATATTATAAAACCTTTATAATAAATAAAATTCAATAAAATGAAATATATATTCGGACATCAAATTATTTTAAAGTTTATTAATATTTTAGAAAAAAGAAAACATAAAAGCAATAATAGATTATATTGTGATAAAGGAGATACATGTCATGACATATCATCATTTTCATCGAATGCATGATGGCTAGTTGGAGGATTGGTGGATAAATTGCCTCTTTTCATATTCGAGCAACATCCGTTGCATCATCGAATGCTTGCTCCAATCGATTTGCGGTAGCTAGGAACGATGTAATAGTATCCTCTAATTTCTCAATCTTTTTGTTTATCTAGAAGAATGACCTTTCATTTCTTTTCACTATGCCTTAATATCGACATGGAATCGCGATGTAACTAAACTAGATGATATATTGACATTAGAGTAACGGTGAGACGCTTATGACTCGAGTTCGTACATTCTCTTCCTCTTACTATCTCCTCCTCCAATTAGCCTTCTTAAAAATCTCGTTCATGTCAATGTCGGGCGATGAAGTACCCTCCGTCTCCCGGTTAGTAACTCGCTTTTCAAATATTTTTTTGACGGTCTCCCATATAATTGCACAAATTTTAATATTAAATAATTATTTGAATAAGTTATATAAAAGTGGCATACGTATGAAATAACCTTATAAATTACTTCAAGAATTCTTGCCTACCGATTGATGAATACATACTTATCATTAATCGTCTTCTTGTAAGTCCTCAAGAAAATCTCGTGAGCATCGGGTTCATGACTCAACCCATTATGTTGAAACAAATATATTTAAATGTGTATTAACGTTGTAATAATTACAAATAACAAATAACACACACACACACACACACACACACACACACACACACACACACACACACACACAAGATTTATCATGCGTATTACATTCTCCCTCGTGAGTGATTGAACCCTTCATATGTCTAGATGGGCTAGCTTTGATGCCACCCATCTCTCTCTTCGGTTCCGGACTGCCGACTCGGATCGAGCACGAGACTCAAGTTTTGCTCATTCCTTATACAATACATCCCATATCTCCTATGAGATATATGCTGATTTAGGGTGTTTCTTTACCTTGTAAAGGAGTTCAAAATATCACTTCCATGCCAAACTCTACTATGCTTTCTTTATGCTTATCTCGATTTGTCGCTCCCACTTAAAGAAATTCTACAAGAATGTTAAAAATGTTCATTAGTACATTTAAATTAACATTAACATTTCTTAATTGAAATATACAGATCACTTAATAAGTTAAGCTAAAAACTACCTTAAACTCTTCCTAGCATAACTCGTTAGTTTGCTCACTAATTGAATTTCACATCGATATGGATATGTCAACATACTCATGGAATGTCTTAAAGATACAACAAGCACAAATATAGAAAGGATATAAGTTGTCAAATAAGACATGAATTAATAATTAAATAAACACATAAATATAATAATATACTAAAAAAATATTTTAAAAAATATGCATAATACATACTCCTTGCCATAAACGATAATAATCGCAATCTAAGGATCGAACATAGATTCGACAAGTGCGGAAGCTAAATTGGAAGGGACGTTTGACGATGAGTCATGTTCAAGAATATGACGATCATCCTGTTAGGGTGAAAACCTTGATGACAATGAAGGTTCGGATGGATGGGGATGTAGAGGTCTATAATAATATGGCTTAGGGCCGATACATGTCGGACGGTGATGGGTTTGACACGATGGCAGGGGAAGGGTGGTATGTAAACATGTCGATGGGGGGCCATTCGACTCGGAATAAAAGCAAGAATACACTCACATCCACGATTACGGCCATCGTCAATGTCTAAAACATGACTCTCACGATATGACATGGGCTACTACCTATGGGAATGTCCCTTACTACGAGGTATAACCTACACATTATCACATTAATTAGTTAAAATATTGATATTAACATGAAACATTGATATTAACTTAAATAAGTTAAAATATATTTATTTTACGATGAATAAATAATTTCATAATTAAATTAAAACATGCACATATGCATACATACACACACAAATATTTATATGTTACCTTAATTATTTGAAGTAAATCGTGGAGGACAATCAAACCTTACCACTAATCACTATTTCGAGTCATCATTGCTACGAGTCTTCATCTAAGTCTTCTTCAATATCTTTTTTCAAATTTAACTTCATTCTTTTTATTAATTTTACCATATTTTAAATCTATTAACAATCTAGTTGGATCATTCAACGATTGACCTTTATCATCATCAACTTGGATGACATTATGTTGGGCATTTATTTTATTTTTCTCGTAATAGTTATGTAATTGTTTGGATTGTAACGAGATGATTCTAGAAGATCCACCACCGATTGAGGTTTTTCCTTATGTACAATTAACCAATCATGCTCGATCGGCTTCGATATAGGATTTGTTGGATAATACACTTGATGCACATATGTTGCTAAAATAAAGGGATCGAATTTGTTTGACGTCCTATGAATATTTACTTTT